TCTGTGAAAATAATTTAAAGTTAATCTCTGAAAAAATAAATAATTTCCCGAATGCAATCTGTGAAAATGTTTTAAACTTCTGAAGAAAAAGGGAAGATTTATTTTACAATGAAACAATTTGCAGTGAGTCCCAATATATGTGTTCTTATCGTTCAATTATTTGAACATTATAAATTTTTCGCTGAATAAATTTAAGTATAATTTGTGTAAATGATAGCTCAGATGTACAAGCTGCATAATAAATCCATAAAAAGTTCAAATTGCAACGGTAGATCCAGAAACGCAAGCCCCTCAAAGGAGCCAAAATACCACGTTATTCCGCACAGTAGAACAAGACGTACCTGGTCAGACGTGAACATAACCAGCTGTCCACCGATAGCAGAAAGGCCTCGCTCCTTGTACGTGGGGAACATCTTGTGTCTAGCAGCAAGAAAGGCGTAAAGATTGCTGATAGAACCTCCTGGAGCGAGAATGGAATCGCCACCGCTCCAGCCAATCAATTCCCTCATTTTCTGAAGTACGACGTGCTCCATCAAGATGAACACCGGTGCAATTTCGTAGGTGAACATGTTCGTATTGGCTGTTGCCGTCAACCATTCTCCAGCCATGGAAATGAGATCGAGACCGCATGATAATTGATTGAAGAAATGAGGATGACCTGAAAGAATCCAAAGTGGACAGAAAAATTTACAAAAATCCCTTCCAATTGAAATTACTTTCAGACAGATATCTGCATTGCGTCCTTTCACCGAGAGTAACGATTAACCGTTTCTGTAGTAAATCAGGGGTGATATTTTAATTTCACTGTGACTGTCGTGATTGTTCGAAGAAGCAGACGTTTAATGGCGTGGTAATTAATAACAGTGACGTGGCACGTGGCCAAAAATTGTGCAGCAAGGTTCGTGGCAGCGACAGCGAGGATGGACGTTAAAGGCACGCGGGTAGAAAGCGGGAAGAGAGCTTTAAGCCTCTCGCTGAGTACGTTGTCATCCGCTCTGCTGAACATCGCGCCAGGATCAGGGTTAATGCTTCTGTTCGATGGGAGTCTGCCTTCTGATGCCAACGGGGGGAACAAGTGCTCGGATTCTACTGTTTCTCACATGTACAGAACGTTGTTGTATCGAATTCGACTTGTATTTCACCTTTTCAGTCGATAGATGATTTTATAAAAATTTCTTGCTTCGTCTTTTTCTTTTTTAGATTATCTACAGACATTTATCTTGAAGTCCTACAGTCTCTCAGGCTACTTGGCAATTTTATTTATTAAATTTAATACACATACTCGTTTTATTTAAGGTTTCCTATAATATTTTATTAAAACAAGTGTCTTTAATGTTAAATAAAAGATTAGGAATTTTTTAAATGAAAAAATTCGCTGAAAAATTGTGAATGTACAAAATTCACAGTTGTAATAGTGAGATGAAAAATTCAGTGTACGGTAAAGGGTTGAACGTCGAATAATTCTGATTTTCTCACAACTCGAAGATGCTTTTTAATTTCCAGCCTGTGCCACACATTTGCTTGAAATTTATGTTCTCCATGATACAGGATTTTTGTCCACCCCTACATATCCTATCATTCTGAAAAATAACGCAGATCCCTTGATCCCGAGAATTGATGGATTCACTCCATTGAATATCCGGCCACGAAAAGACTTTTTCCCCCGGGTGCACGATAACCACGAAACCTTTGATAACCAACGAGCTAGATCTTCAGAGTTATGTTGCGCTTTTCCGGAAGATACCGTTTTCCCCGAACGCTGTGAGACCAAACACGCGAATGAGCATTCCGAGGGTGGCGCTTGGACATTTTAATCTCACGGTATTACGTAGTGATTGACGTATGACGCCAGTCTTTCGAGGGCTAAATGCTCTGCTCCCCTTGGCACATCTGGAACTCGAACTTCAGGATTTTCCTGGCAGCGTTCGAAGTTCGATAAGATGATTTTTACCCAGAATTTGTTAAAAAAGAACGATAAAAGGTGTTCCATGGTGATACTGAAAATTGACGAATTGCAAACTCTTGGAATTTTAATAAAGAAATATAATTTAGAACATATTTATCCCCTATGTCCTTTTGAGAAGAATATTGTCAGGCTTTGAGAACACAATTTTTATTCAGCACTCGATCGAGCCTTTGCAGTCGAGTAATATTTTAACCCTTTGCCTTGCAATGACGAGTCACACTCGTGATGAAGATGTGACAAAAGAAGAATTCCAAGTTTATTAAATTTATATATATGCTCTACCTTCAGCTTCAATTTAAATTAGCTTCAGCTTCGAATCGGGTTGAAACAGACCCAGAGACCCTATATATAACAATTTTCGTTACGAGCACGTCATATGCACCTAAGCAATAAGCTTTTAATACAATCCTAAGGGGACACAAAGACAACACCAAAAAACTTATTAAAAAACTAAGAAGAGGATGGGTCAAAAGTGACCCAGGCGCTTCCCTACAAAAAATAGCAAGGCAAGGGGTTAATATTTCCTTCGAATAATAAAAGGAAAAAGGAAGAAAAGGCACTCGTCACCCAGACACCCAAATCTCCACAAGTAAAAGCGTGTATTCCGCTACAAAAGTGTGTCCACCCCACGAACGCGATATCGGGCAGCGGTATTCGCACTGTTATTCGCAATTATCCTGGTCCGTGGATCGTGGCACGCGTCCGGTCCAAGGGTGTGCAAGAAGACGTCTCTCTTTCTCTCTTTCTCCACTCCCTTTTGCGCGACTTTTTCCACTAGTATCGTGGCTCGTGGTTCAGCCAAGGGTGGAGGAGGGTCGATGGTCCGGAGAGCCCGCATTTTGCGCGTCACACGCGTCGCTGCGCGACTAGATTGTTTGCAGAGGCTCTCAAACCGAGCCGTCGACCCAGGAAAAACAAACTATCACGACCAGACTGCGAGCAGCGTGAGGAAAGTCGTTCTTGTATTATGCAAATCGGTGGAAATGTCGCGGCCACCACGAGAAACTATTCCCGCGGTGAATTTACTTGGTCGAGAGAAATTGAGAAAGTTCCGGCTGTTTTATTGCCCTCCCGCTGGAATTTCTTGGGAATTAACCCGGAAGAGATGATGTTGCACGAAGATTGAGCAAAATTGTTCGCAGTTTCGAGGAAAAAGTGTGAAAAGTTCGAAACAAACCTGAACGAAAAGAGCTGCTAAATTTTCTTATTTTCGCTTAGCAAAAGTGGACGAAGATTAAATAATAAAATTAATTACACTGTCCAGTAGAAAGCGTGAACACTTCCCTTCCGAGATAGCGCAACATTTCGAGAACGAAATGAGCGAATGAAAAGTGAAACATGGGGGTGATGCGTGTTTTGTTTGTGCAGTTTGTAGGAAGATAGGAAAAATAAACAGGAGTGCAACGCGCGGATCGAGATAAGCCAGCCAGGTTGGCGTATTATGCAGATTTAAGGGTATGTTAATTCTGCACGAAGCTGCAGGGATTTTCGTACCAGATCCCCTTAGACTCTTTTCCATTACCGCCAAGTAATGGCAAAATAGAGGCTCGTCTGTTAAAACTAATGGTGGGGCAATCTTTTTGCGTTGCAATCTTCTCCAGCCTCGCGTAAATCTTATGTAAAATTTTCTGGACCTCTCAAGCACATGCTGAACTTTAATTTTAATAAAACAGAAAATTATAGAATAGTCTGACCTCTGTTCTGCTATATTTTAAAATATTGCACCTTCTTTGTAGAAAATTCTAACGATAAAAGAAATTTCCACCTTCTTTATAGTAAATTTTAATGGCAAAACAAAAATTAGTTTTCTCTGGTTGGTTCTAAAAAAAATCGACAGTATTTCGTTTGTTAGTTAACTTCTTACGAATTCTAGGGTGAATACTGTAATAAGAAAATGTGAACGGAGTGTAGTTACTATTTGCACGTCCAATATGATAGGCACTACGATTCGTTTCTTTCACTGGGTTGCTCTTACGACCGATTACAACGTCGGAGGG